TCTCTGTAGGGGTTCCAGTCTGGTCCTTTATCACCTGTACAGGAAACTCATGTAGAGAGAAGCAGGGTGCCTAGGGTGAGTGCAGTTTTATGTTAAAAAAACAAACAAACCTACAATCAAATGTTAGCTACAGACAGACATCCCTCTTCTCAGCCCAGCCCTTTTCTCCAGTCCATGTGGCCACCCCTGTTCTGGAAAACCCCCTTCGTCTGCCCTTGGGGATTACTGGACAGGTTGTACAGTGTTCTTCAGTAGTGCAGAGAGCCCTGAAAAAGATGAGATTGGTCCACTCTCTGCCAGTGAGAAACAGGATACTGGGCTAGATGGAAATGGTCTGACCCACTATGGCAATTCTTAGGCTCCTGTGCGTGTAGACCACAGGTCTTCAGAGCAGTGTTGAGGGAAGGATTCCCTTTTGGCTCCCATCATCTTCCTCAACACATGGCCTCACCTGTGACTGGGGGAGAAGACAAGGGGTTTAAGGGCACATGGCTCCACCTAGAAACCCTTCCCTATTCCTTTAAACCCAGCAAAAGCCCAGGTCAATGTGGCTCCATTCTGCAGGGCTCCCAACACGGTGCCTGGAAGAAAGAAATGGGGCTAGTTCTGTACCACTGTAGTGTCCAAAGGCCCTTCCCTCCAGCAAGGACTGGACATGGCTGTAAAGATCCTTGTTATATTGCTGGCTTTTGGCCTGTAATTTAATTGCTTTTCCATGCATGACTCAACATTTGTCTGGAAACCAGATGAGTTGGGAGTTTGGGAAGAAAAAGAGAGTGTGTGTGGGTGTGTGGGGGGGGGGGGGAGGGGAAAGGGGGCTAGTTTAAAAGAGGTTGCAAGTGCAATCTGGGACACTTCTATGTTTGTTACCTGTGTTTGCATCTCTGTTCATATCTGAGCAACCATATGGGTGTATGGGGGCACACAGAGGGAGACACCCCATTGTGAGAAACCCTCCAAAGTTCTCAGCAGCTCTTGAGTGCTCCCACGTAGAAAAAAACATCCGTCTGCCAATAAATAGTTCCTTGTTTCCTCCCAAACATTCAGATTTCCCCACAGAAATTACAATGGTCAGAGAGTGAAGGTAGCCCATACTGGTGACAGCCCTGCCAAGCTGCAGGGGGAAGGGTATGTTTCTCTCTCCCATAGGACATACACAGTCCATGCTTCCAGCTCTGCAATCTTAAGCTTCAGCCTCCTTGCCTCTGTGCACACAGCAAAGCTATTTTAGGTCATTTGCGGGGGTGTTCTCAGCTCATTAGTTATATTATTTCTCTCTCTTTGCCACCCGCTTAGTATGGGTTTCTGGTAACCAGGACATCAGGCTCTGCTAGCATAGGGACACAGAAGAAGTCCCAGTTATAAAGTTAAACATATCTGCAAATTGTGCATTATTCCCACACTAGGTTTTTTTTCTTTTGTCACATATAAGGCAGGTGTGAAATACAGGAGGGGAGGAGAGGATGGGAATGCAGGTTTCATCAGCATGGCTCAGCTGTTTTCTGGATAACTCACTCCGTGACTGCAACTGGACTGGCCAGCTGGAAGCCCTGTGAATGACACGTGGACAAACATGCGGGCATGCCTTGCACACATACACGCGCACACAATTTTCTACATATACATGCTCGTGGAAGTGCACAGTCAAATGTACACACATGCAGATATGCACAAACATATGAGTACATGCACTAGCCCAAACAACTGAACATAACTGTGAATGCACATGTACATCCACATGTGAATACCAGGCTGGTGTGTTTTGAGCTCTGCATCTGGAATAGGAAATGGCAGTTACCAATTCAGTCCTGGTTAAAAAATATTCCCGCACCCACTGCATAGCTGATCCTACACAAACACAACAAGATACATCTCATGTCTGTGTCCCTGTCAGTGTTTAACATAGCAGCCAAGGCATTCCCCTGAAGTAACCTAACAGTGGGCCCACAGCACCCAACCCTATCCCCAGGGGTGAGTTTGTCTTCTATTTCCTCATCCAGTTCATCAGGGCCCTGCCAATAAAACTTCCTTGATCCTGGGACCTTCCAAATAAACACTGATGTCATATAGAGCAAACACACCCAGCCAGAGCCAAACAGGCCCTGGCCTGACCCACACCCATCCAGTCAGTCTATAATGCTGAAGGGTTGGCAGCAGGGGGGCTCCTCTCCATAGATGCTGCTTCCATGGTGCAGCATGACCCAAGCACCCCAGCTTTTCTGGGCAGCAGTAGTACACTGTGTGTGCCCCTTCATATGGGTGGTAGAGAGGGAGTGCTTGGGGCCAACCCAGCAAACAGTAGGGCTAGGAAGGAAGAGGCACTGATGTCAATGAACCCCTTCATCTGGATGTGGGGTTTCCTTTCCACCCTGCTATTAGGCCGATTGCTTCAATCTTAGTTGCTAGACTACCCTCCACCTCCCCCCATCATAACATCCCCTGCCCTTCACTCCCAAGCTACTAACACACCCTTTCCAAAGCTCCCCTCACCCTGTCCCAGCAGGTAAATAATAAGCATCCCTCACATGACAAAGCCAAGTGTCAGCAGCCCCAGCATTGCTCCTCATGCTCTGCCTCCGCTATTTCTGTCCATCTTCCACATCTCCTTGCATTTATGTGCTGGGTCCTGCACACGAGTTCCAGGATACTACCCCAGCACTAGTGCTCAAAAGCAATACCCCCCACCTGCCATGGCAGCCCTAGGGTGCAGAGCTGACCACAACCAACAAACTATGTAGAAGAAAGCAGAGTTGGGAATGTGTGGGTCCAGGAATGATAACAAGTGCTCCAAAGGGGAGCACAGAGCACAGCACACCAGCTACTGCCACTGCCCCCTGAATGAGTCCAAGGGCTCAGTGGACAACACCCAGTGAGACACTGCCCGGAGTCATAGGAGGAGTGATAGAAAGATGGCCCCACAGTCATCTGGGTTCTCCCTGGCCAGAGTCTCCCTCCTGGTGTGATAGATGGCAAGTTTGGCCAGAGCCAGGAGAAGGTTGACCAAGAGGTCCTAAAATCTGGTGGGGCCACAGACAGGGAATGCATAAAAAGAAAAGGTGATGGGAGAAGAGAAAGCCAGAAGTTCAGGATGGGACCCATAAGCAGATGGTGAAGGGGCTGCAGCCTAGTGCATTCGAGGTAGGCATGCACCTGGATCTCCCTGTTGACAGAAAGGACAGGTGTCAGGAGTGTCTACAAAGTATGCCCAATATATACCTGTGGAGACTGCTCTGTGTAGGAGCTGCCAGCCTAGGTCTCAGGTGTGCAGATAAAAACAGGAAGCTGCACAAGGTGTTGATTTTATCCTTGATAAGAGCTCCTGGTGAAAGCACACACCCTCTCCCTGAACTCCCCCCTGGGGACACATCCTGGTGACCTGGCCTTCCCTCTTCCCCAGGTCTTTTTTCCCAATCCCTCCTCCCCGCACACACTTGAATTATTCCCCTACCTTGTGGCCCCTCAGGGCTCCATCTTGATTCATTTTCCCTCAGTGGGTGTTGGGGCAAGAATCCCTTCTGAGACTGGGAGAAAACAGGAACTAGGAGGGAGGTGCCAGCTTGTGCTGGGAGGGGAAAGATGCTGGGCAGTGAACAACAAGTTACGAGTGGGAGAGGCAAAAGCTGAGCTGACTTTGGGGATCACTCTTCCTCCTGAGGCAGTGGCCCCTCTGTGGTAGTGCAAGGACTGCAGCCAAACAACAGATGGTGGTGATGTTTGAATGCCTGCTGCCAAAGATGAGCTGCACCATGGCATCACACCATGCCAGATGCTCCCATCCCAAGGGCCATTCTGCTCAAGGACAAACTTTTGCTTTAGAAAGTTTTTCCAACGTGCCCCCTTCCCAGATTCCACTTCCTGGGGTCCCAATACCTTTTTCTCCCTCTGGCTTGATCCCACTGCATGCTGCAGTCTAGGGCTCAACTAGCCTTTCACCTCATCCTCAGGCCTCAAGAGGCTCTGATTTGGGCCAGTTTTCCGTCTTCTGCATTCTGCAGTGTTGGTGACTGGCAGCTCTGCCAGAGATTCTTTTGTTTCCTCCCTGTAGCTTTTCTAAATGCACTTCTGTAAATTAACATTGTATGGTGGCAGAGCAAAGAAACCTTGATCAAGGATTGTGGCTTCTTTGTGCTCAGCCCTGTAGACACAAGTACCATAGACCATCCCTGCCTCAGACACTGGGTGGGAAAAGAGCTTCCCAGTGATAAGGCCCATGTGACTTTTTATGTATAGAAAGACTGACCGTCTCAGTGCCTCCTAAGTCTTGGGCCAGTGTCACCACTTGGTCAGGAAAACATCTTTTTGGACAACTGATTTATCCAATATGGCCACCATCTGTAGCTGTTGGGGAGTTGAGAAGGTTGAACTAAAGAGGGAGGAGGGGATGGATCTACGGTAGATGGATCACAGTACACAACGAATGGCAAACCTATGCAACAGACTGATTTCACATGCACATTCAACTTAGCTATTTCCTCTGCCAACAGGAGCTAACCCTTACATGTGCATCTCTCCCACAGCTTACTGTGTTCAGGCCCACAGGGCTAGATCAGGTCCTAATGGCTCCTGGTGTAAGCAAGGACAGGGCAACCACTGTTGGTACTGAAGTGATCAAATGTTCTTCAGTTATTCCCCTCGTGTCAATTCTTCACTTCCTGTCCTAAATCACCACACAGCATTGCAGTAAGACTGACAGTCCACTGGGTCATTTGGGTTAAATAGCATCTCAGTGGGGTTGTAATTGAGCTAGCTTTTAGGAGAATGATTTTCAGAAAACCAACATATTGCTACAAACGCTTATCCTTCTCTGAACCACTTATTATCTAAGGTGCCACACCCTGCCCTACCTTCTACCTGGCAGAGCACAGTGTGTTCTTCACCCAAATCCCTGCCGTAAAAGCAAACCTAAACTCAGACAAAGGTGGAATAGCAACCATCCCTTCCAAGACAGCAGTGATAATCACTCATGCCTGAATAAGACACTCAATGACAAACCAGAGGGATTCAGAGATTTATTTGTGTTTTCTTCCAACCGTGCCATCTCTAATGTACAAATGATGACTTAAAACGGCAGGACATGGGCAGTGACAAAGACCCTATTAAAAAAAATAGTCATGTATATTTGAGAAAAATAAAATTTAAGATAATTCCCTCCCCTCCCCTGTACCGTAAAAACTCTTCTGCATGTACAATTATTTATTACTATATACACATTACAAAATAAATGCCCATGGCTCAGAGTGTGGAGAGCAACACCACAAGTGCACTTTGCATCAGGGGATTTGCTAAAATGTTTGGTTTTTAAATTAAAATATAAATAGAAACCACCAACATGCCAAGAGCCAAATGTGTTACTCCCATCTGAGTTCAAGGTGAGCAAGACCAACTGCCTACCCATTTTGATTAGAAATCTTCATTTGCACATATTCACATTCTGGCAGCTGAAGAAACAACCACTTCCAGGTGTGGTGGCTTCTTGCTCAGAGTCTACACTCCATTCTTCACCAGCTCATGGACTCCATTTTCATCAATAATCAAAGGTGCCCGAAACTCTCTATTTTTCACATACTGTTCCAGGCCCTAACAAAAGAAAAATAGCTGTTGTTAGGTTGGATATGGCCATGTACCACATTTAGTAACATTAAGGATGGCTCTGCTTGCTGGAGGGCAGGACCTTGATATGAAACCAAGTAAAGCCAGTGTTTTACAAAGCACAGTGCTTTGTAATAGGTTGATATAGCCTAGACTGACATAGTTTAACACTCCAAACCCAATCTCACAGCAATGCTCAGCTGAGGCTTTGCTAGTCTCACCTGGCCAGTTATTAGAAATGAGGCCAGGTTGTGTCCAAATATCAGGATTTACACCCTATAAACTCTAGGCACCAACCCAGTCTACATTGCTAAGGAACAGTGATTTCTCTCACTAAATCTGGCAATGTTCAGGCAGTGATGACAGTCTTAAAGATGTTTTTGGATAGCAACATATGGCAACAATGCATTCTGTGACATCCTCCTGCATAGAGAGACTAAGCCTGTTCACCTCCGTCCTGTCCCCAGATGAGGAAGGGACCCAGTCACTGGAAAACTATCAGGGACACTGCCTCTTTACTGCCATGGTTACTAGTCAAACTGAGGTAGTGTCACTTGGAGCTAAGTAGTTCAATAACCTGTTACCAGCTTGCCTAAAAAGTGTGCAATGTGAACAAGGCATAAGATGCAGCAGCTAGGCTTAGCTGAAGAGTGTAATGTAGACAGTGGAAGTGGCTGCAAGCCAGCTCTTGTGCTGGGGACTGAATCAGTCATTTCAAATAGATGCTGGCTTCAGGCTTCCTGGTTGGGTCTTAATATCTTTAAGCCACACAGATACACACCACAGGTGCTGACACACAGTCCCTTTAGGAGGCAGCATCATACAGCCTGCTGTGTAAAATGCTTCAGAAAATTGGGCCTCCTAGTTTTAGAGGTGTATGTATAGACATGAAGAGGATTGTTCTGAAGGCTGCAGGTTTACTACCCCACATAGCAATTCATGCCCAAAGAGGAGTCATTTGTTATTACCAGAACACAGCAAAAGTGTCCGTCAGCAGGTTCATGGAGAAGACACTGACATAGACAGAAGAATCAGACACCAGGTATCAACACAATCCGCTGCTTACGTGTATTACAGTTGTACTTTGTTCAACTTAAAGCTGGTGTAACCTCAGAGCAAGGCAAAACTGTATGATTCCAACCCACCAACTTCCCTCCTCACCCTTCAGTTATGGGATCTGCTATCAACAGACTTTAATTTCCATGCCCCTGCTCCCCACCCCTATTATAATCTAATCTCTGGAAGCTTGTTTACAAATGCATTTTTAATAATAAAAGGACAAGCACTTACTTCTCCTCCATAGGAGACAAGGGGAGAAATCTCACACTGGATTGGCAAATCATTTGCATCCTTCAAACTAAGGCAGAAAGAAAGGAAAAAAAAGAAGTCATGAGTGGTGCACAGGCCATGTTCCAGTTGGGCTGACTATATCAGTAACAAAGAGAAGAGTAATTCTGCTGAGAGATTTGCCAGATGCTCTCTGTATTAGCAGCCTGCTGGTGTATATTAGACCCTGCTGCCACAGCAGTGGACCAGTACAGTGTGGTAGTGCCCAAAGTGGTTCCCCAGCAGTTAGTCAAGCCTCTGGTGTGCTCTCAGTATCGGTGCTTGCTCAAGTTGAAATGCAGGCAGTGACTGCAGAAGAACAGAATTCAGATCCAGCTTTAATGATGCATGGTGTGATCATGTTCTCTCTCAATAGTGATTGTTATTTGTACAGCAATAACACCAATGAGCCTCACTGATGGACTAGGAGCACACTGTGCTAGGCACTGCACAAACACAGAACAGGAAGATGGTTCCCTGCCCTAATGAACAAACAATATTCCCATCCCACCCTTCTGCAGCCATGGCAAGGTGCCTCAGAGATGTCTACCTAGTCTTTATCTGGAGCATGTCAGGAGCTCAGCTAACTCCAATCATCTCTTTAGACTAATCCAGAAGTCAGACATATATTTCATAAATGTCGGGGGGGGGGAGGGGGAGTGGGTAGGGTGCATCTTTCTGCTCAATTGACAGCAGCAAGGATTCTGCTGTGAAATTTAAATGAAATTTTTTCTGGGAACACTCAAGAGGGACCCAGCATTATCTCAAACTGCTATTTTTTATAAGGTCTTGAAAAGCATACTCCTTAAGCAACCCCACTAAAATCAGCAAGGCTGCTCTCAGAGCAAATGGCTGCTTCCCTCTAATAAGTGATCCTGGAACAACTGCCATGCTGGTGGTTCAGCTGACAGGGCACAAGGGAAAACAGACCCCTACAGTCTGTGATGTAGGCAGATGTGGGTTCTATTCCCAGTTCTGTCTCTGGCCTACTGAGTGACACCAAGGAAGTCTTTTGCTTCCATGCCCATTTCTCCTCATGCTCATTATTTGTTCTGAGACCCGCATACTCTCTCCCTGTTTGTACAATACTTAACCCAATGGGCCCGGATCTCAGCTCAGGATTCTAGGTGCTCCTGTAACAGGAACAGACAACATGCAAACAACAAGGCTGAAGTAACATGTTGGTGCACTGGTGCTAGGTTGCCCCTAATGAACTGTTGTTGTTACAGGGAGCATCATCTGAACACAAGGTACAGAAAATGTTCCCAGGGAAAAAGTCACTGGAAGTTGTTGCTCTTTTCCAGGTACTGTTGCAAAAGAACACTGACCATCAACTGTAGAGACTGCATCAAAAGCTGCTTTATACAAAAAGAATTAAGCAAATTCTCTGTAAGAATGGACACCGTAACAAAACTAAGCTTTCGGGACAAGCAACATTTCATGATGTGCTCTTACAGTGCTGTACATAATGGAGCGCTGATTATGGACAGGTGTTGCTACCATGCAAAGAAAGGCAGTAAAAAAAAAAAAAGCCATCTCATTTCAAATCATAATCCTAAAGGTTCAGGATAGCTCCTTCAGCAACCACAGAGTTGTAGCACTACAAGACAGATTTAGAACAGGGTGGAGAGATTTAAGATCACTATGTCATCAACCAGGAACCACTTATTTAAATAACACTTTAATTATTTTTTTCCGAAGTGCAATTCTCAGTGATTAATAACTATAAACAAAGAGGCCGATTTGCAATTAAATATGATCTTTACACTGAATTTGGCATTGTTTGCTAACAGGCAAGATGCACTTTTATTCGAGCAATTACATAGTTTAATATCTATTAGAAACAGTGAACAAAGGTTTTTCTTTTAACTCAGGATTTATGCCAAGTTCTTTGGAAACAGCAAATGGGATTAAAATGAAAATGCACAAAAGCAGCATTTTAAAGTTACTTGTATTGGTTAAATAAAACCACCTTAAATGTGCTGGGTACACGTGGGGTGGGGGGGTGAGGAAGGGAAGTTCTGCAAAACATTTTGCACTTAAAGGTATCATTATTAATTGTATTATCTGTAGTCAGTGAACTGAAATAAAGGATGGAAAGAAATCTTTGGAGGATGTGGTAATCAGAAACATTTTGCAACCAACCAAGTTCATCTCATCTCCTCGCATCCTTTTTTTAAAAATTATTTGTAAATTAGAAACCGGCAAAGGATTTGTTTTCCTTTTCCAATCAGTTTCGTACTTTAGCACGTTGGTAACTGAACTGAACTAGTTGAACAGAATGAAATGAAAATATATTCTTTCTGTATCTATAGAAGAGGATAAAGCTATTAAACTGGTTGTAGCACTTCAAACACACACTAGTTCACGGTGCTTGGCCATCAGCTTCCAGCAATTTAAGTTTGACTTTCTTTTAAGCTTCATCAAACACGTATGGTTTAACATATTAAAGCCTAAATTTACTATAATATCTTAACAGAGATTGCCATCCAAATCTAAACTTAAAAAAAAAAAAAACAACTTTCAAAGAAAAGAATTGATAAAAAAATGGTTTTATCATCTACTGGTAGCATAACTGAAGTGGGGGGCAGCGACCAGGGCAGCAGCACCTGGAACTGCCTTTGGGGCAGGGGGAAGCACAAAAAAGCAAATCAACACAGGAAGAGCTAGCGCTGCACTACTATGTTTCTATCACCTCCTCTTGCCCTTCAATCTCTATATCAAAGCAAAGAGAGGAAGAAAAAGGGATGCTGTCTTGGTTGGAGAGGGGAGGCCATGAACCTCTCCACTCCTGTGGTAGTTGTAGAGTATGGGATTCCACTGATTAATAGATGAGAAATAAAGGATTCACAGCGACTGCCCACCTTGTTAGGGGGCACTTTGAGAGCCATTTAAACAATTAGCTCCTGCTCTGTGGATCACAGGCAGGAAAGACTTCCAAAAAATCAGGGTGCTGGACTGGGAGACAAGATATCAGAGCACCTCTCAAACAACTAATGCAGACATTTATACCTTGTTTCCTGGTTAAAGATCTGGCCCAGGCTCAGTACTGACTGTCAGCCATTACACTCCCCTGCTTGGCCCAGAAGCTGTCAAATGATCTGGGACTTTTAATCTAGTCAGAGACAGGCTTCTTATCAGAGAAACCACCACTGAAATGGGGAGCACCAGACAAACACAATCACTATGCGAATGATTCACAGAAGCCATGTTGTACTGAAAAGCAGGTGGTGGAAATGAACAGTTTTTCACAGTCAGCAATAATACTAAAGTAAAGAGTGGGTGGCAGATTTCTGCCTGGAGGCACAACAATAGCACCTGTTAAAGGTCTCTAGACCATGGGTCAGCAGCCCACAGGCTGGATCCAGGCCTCAAGAGAGGCTGGATCTGCTCAAGGGAGTTGGCAGTGTACAGCTCTGGCATACAGCCGTCCATGCTGCTCTCACACCTGCACTCACCCTCAGCACAGAATCAGCCCCTTCCTATTATCACTGAGGACAGGGATTGGTGGTGAGGGTAAGAGCAGGTTTAGGTGCTGGGTGGGTGGGTGGGTGGGGGACGGGGACGACACATGCAAAGGTTTTTCTTTTAACTCAGGATTTATGCCAAGTTCTTTGGAAACAGCAAATGGGATTAAAATGAAAATGCACAAAAGCAGCATTTTAAAGTTACTTGTATTGGTTAAATAAAACCACCTTAAATGTGCTGGGTACACGTGGGGTGGGGGGGTGAGGAAGGGAAGTTCTGCAAAACATTTTGCACTTAAAGGTATCATTATTAATTGTATTATCTGTAGTCAGTGAACTGAAATAAAGGATGGAAAGAAATCTTTGGAGGATGTGGTAATCAGAAACATTTTGCAACCAACCAAGTTCATCTCATCTCCTCGCATCCTTTTTTTAAAAATTATTTGTAAATTAGAAACCGGCAAAGGATTTGTTTTCCTTTTCCAATCAGTTTCGTACTTTAGCACGTTGGTAACTGAACTGAACTAGTTGAACAGAATGAAATGAAAATATATTCTTTCTGTATCTATAGAAGAGGATAAAGCTATTAAACTGGTTGTAGCACTTCAAACACACACTAGTTCACGGTGCTTGGCCATCAGCTTCCAGCAATTTAAGTTTGACTTTCTTTTAAGCTTCATCAAACACGTATGGTTTAACATATTAAAGCCTAAATTTACTATAATATCTTAACAGAGATTGCCATCCAAATCTAAACTTAAAAAAAAAAAAAACAACTTTCAAAGAAAAGAATTGATAAAAAAATGGTTTTATCATCTACTGGTAGCATAACTGAAGTGGGGGGCAGCGACCAGGGCAGCAGCACCTGGAACTGCCTTTGGGGCAGGGGGAAGCACAAAAAAGCAAATCAACACAGGAAGAGCTAGCGCTGCACTACTATGTTTCTATCACCTCCTCTTGCCCTTCAATCTCTATATCAAAGCAAAGAGAGGAAGAAAAAGGGATGCTGTCTTGGTTGGAGAGGGGAGGCCATGAACCTCTCCACTCCTGTGGTAGTTGTAGAGTATGGGATTCCACTGATTAATAGATGAGAAATAAAGGATTCACAGCGACTGCCCACCTTGTTAGGGGGCACTTTGAGAGCCATTTAAACAATTAGCTCCTGCTCTGTGGATCACAGGCAGGAAAGACTTCCAAAAAATCAGGGTGCTGGACTGGGAGACAAGATATCAGAGCACCTCTCAAACAACTAATGCAGACATTTATACCTTGTTTCCTGGTTAAAGATCTGGCCCAGGCTCAGTACTGACTGTCAGCCATTACACTCCCCTGCTTGGCCCAGAAGCTGTCAAATGATCTGGGACTTTTAATCTAGTCAGAGACAGGCTTCTTATCAGAGAAACCACCACTGAAATGGGGAGCACCAGACAAACACAATCACTATGCGAATGATTCACAGAAGCCATGTTGTACTGAAAAGCAGGTGGTGGAAATGAACAGTTTTTCACAGTCAGCAATAATACTAAAGTAAAGAGTGGGTGGCAGATTTCTGCCTGGAGGCACAACAATAGCACCTGTTAAAGGTCTCTAGACCATGGGTCAGCAGCCCACAGGCTGGGACCCAGGCCCCAGAGACTCAAGGGAGTTGGCAGTGTACAGCTCTGGCATACAGCCGTCCATGCTGCTCTCACACCTGCACTCACCCTCAGCACAGAATCAGCCCCTTCCTATTATCACTGAGGACAGGGATTGGTGGTGAGGGTAAGAGCAGGTTTAGGTGCTGGGTGGGTGGGTGGGTGGGGGACGGGGACGACACATGAACAGAGATTTGCAGCCTATGGTGTGGGCCAGCTCGCAAGTGGCAGCAAAAAGCGACTGACTCTTGCTCTAGACAGCAACCCAGAAGACTGGTTGCAAGAACTGTCCAATACTGGAGGGGACAGCCCTGACTTTGGAAGCCAGAGTTCAAATCCTGGCAAATAACTCAGTCCTTCACAAGGATAAGAGACTTCCTGACAACATACTGCATGGGGAAAAGGTTTGAGAAGAAGCTATAACCAAGCCTCCACCTGCTTTACACAGACTGGAAAAGCTAAGCTATGATTCTTCTATAGCCACTTTTCATTCCTTTGTTTCCCAGCTCTATTAAGGTCTGATCTACTTACCAGATAAGGAAAAAAAGTGGCACAGTGGTAAGCGAAGGAGCTCAGTTCTCCCCTAACCCCTGCAAGACTGAAAACCCAAGTTTCAAATGCAAGTTTAAGTACTGCCCTCAGTCCAGAGAGGCATAGCAGGAATTAACACAGCACAGACATGGGCACAGGACTGGTGCAGATGAGTACAGGGCAATGCTACAGGTCACCGATTTTTAATCTAGCTACTGCAGGAAGCCACGGCTAAAGAAAGTCTTTAGTAAGACATGCTCCCCATTTCCCACCATGCATCCTGGATCCCAGTTGGTTAGCAGCTACCAGAGAGGCCAGTCACCAGGAAAACAGTGTGTGTCAGCCTCAGTCCTATGAGGCTGCCTACTAGGCCAACTGCTCTTGGCCCTAGCAGTGAAGACACCCAGCCTGTTAGTACCTAAGCACACAGCCCCACCACCATGCACTGCGGAGAGCCTAGCGCTGTATATTTACTTGTCATTGACATCAGCTCTGATGGCATCTGGCCTTCCGTTTGTGAAGCTGTTGTGTGGGAATAAATATGGGTTAATAAGGATGGAAAAAAAAAATAAAATAAAAAAAAAAAAATCCCCAAACCCCCAAATAAACAAAAAAAGGAACTGAACAAAACCAAACCAGGAAGGACAAGGCTCATCTTCAGTCCCTCACTGAAAGCTCCTTATTACCACAGCAGTGGTGGGTGGGTGCGTGCAGGTGGTCATTAGCACAAGGACTGTAGAAGCTGAGCCCAGCTACTGAGGATAGCTTGCAAGTGTAATTGTTCACTGGGTTGAGCTCTGTGACACAGCCATCCAAAACCTCTGATGTATCAAGCAGACTCAGCCCAAGGTAGGCACACACTACTAGCCTTTCAGGGACTACTACTTGCTCTAGTGAAGCTGTCCTCTATACAGAGGTCCAGCTCACAGGTAGGGGACAGGAGGAGACTCGAGATGCAAGCATGCAACGTGCCAGTTACCTGGGTAGGCTACACCTCACCCCTCTGTGCCTACCAGCAGCCAGGTGACTTGTATAGATCTGCAGGACAGCTCATTTCACCCGTCGTACTACCAAGGATTACCACAGACTAGCAAGGATTAAGTGGTCAATTATCTATTGGCTTCAGACAGTGGACCTGCAGCATCTCAGTCATTTTCAATCGTTTCTGGATGAGGGCTAGGCCTATATTTGTTTCAAGTGCTATGTACAAAGAGCAGACTTTTTCAATCAGGCACCCAAAGCTCTCTCACTTAAAGTGCCCAGAGCTGAGAAACTGAATTAAGTCAACAGCTCTGTGCAAGTCACAAGCACGGCTGGCCCACCATCTCCACATGGACCACACCAGAAGAGTGCTTCATGGCAGTACAGCCACTGCCAGAATAATACCAGTTGGGATCTTCTGCTCCTGTAAGCAGATTGTAAATAGGGAGAGAAAATTGCACAGCTTGCATGAGCCCCCTAGAAAGCAAGAAGTAGAGAGATATCACTCTGTAGAGAGCAGTCTGAAGTGCTTAGGATGCAGGGCCATGCCTACTTACCGGGGGATTGCAGGGATGCGAGTACCATTTTCATCCACAAAGTGGCCCCCAGCATTGAGGACCCAGCAGTGGTGTAGAGACATGAGGGCATGCCGGGCTGTGGTGGGGTTGTCCTTCCCATTCTGACTGTCTGCATTCTTCAGAGGCGAGAATTCATCTTCCCGCAACACTTCGTACACCACAAACTTCCTGCAGGTGGAAAACAGCAGGGATGGGGTTCAGATCCAAAAAAAGGAGTTTGCAATAGATTCCCCTTGTTCTCATTCCTCTGGAAGGAAGAGGTCCCACCACTGTTTCAGCTCAGAGACTTGCTAGCTACTGGGAGCACCGTTAACACCAGCTGCATTGTTGTTAGCTACTCTGCACCGAGAGCTAGGACTGTATTTCCTAAAGGCAACTGCAGAAACTCAGGTCTGCCCCGGTGACCATGCCTACCCCAGGTATAAGAAGCACAAGACAGCAAAATGGACAAGCTATTCTTCCTCCTTCTGGCTGCTTCAGAGACATGGCTTCAAGCCCATTCAAAGTAAGTGGGCAGGGGCTGTTTGCTCTGCTCTCATGGGAACTCTCGTATTCAGTCCTGCCCAATCCCTGCTCCCCAGCTGAGGCTATGATCAAGAAAGGGCTTGAAGAAGTTTCTTATCCTGATTTCAGGAGACCTCCCTTTAGACAGACCTGGCCCCTTCCCTGCTGTCTGCCCAGAGGCACGCAAGCCAACCAAGATGCCTTCACGTACCACACACTGGCACTGGTGCCAGGGGTTGCCTATCCCTGTGCTAAAACCATCTGGGAGGCTGTCATCCCTCCATGGGAAATCACCACTCCAGGATTTCACATCGAGTTTCAGCACTTCATGTGCTGCCCTGGCCAGCCTCAACCTCTCAGATCTCTCAGGGTCACATGACTTGGTCTAAAGAGGCTGGAAAGTTGTCCCTGACTCAGCAACCCTAGAGAAAGGCTATGGTCCTATTTACTCCAACCTGGCAAGTTGGGAGTGAGGGAAGGAAGGACACAGATTCCCTGAAACAAGATTACTTAGAGTGAGCCCTTATAAAGAAGGTTCATGCCCATTCCTCTCACATCTGTGGAGAGTCCCAGGAGTTTCCGCAAGAAATTGAGCAGCCCACTTGGACTATCAGGAAGACTCAGGCTGATCCTGGCCCAAATGAGCAGTGGGGAGGAAATTCTTCCTAGGATCTGAGAGATGGTGGAGGCAGACAAAGAAAATGAGTCTAAGTTTTGCAGGCGACCGAAGAGAAAGGGATGGTAAGCAGGGGAAGTTCACAGGCAAATCAGATGAGTAAAAACTTGGAGCTTCTCCTGTGTAAAGTATGGCAAGAGCCCAGCAACCGTCTGAATGTCCCCTCTGGGGTGGTCACCTCTGCTAAGCTTGTAGACTTCTAAGGCCCCTGGCACAATTGTGTAGAGAGACTAGGAAGGGAGAGGCATTCACATGTTGACCACCTGTCCCTGATTGGTGGTACTTTGACTCTGCAGGCCTGAGGCAGAGAACAGCAGGGGCCGCAACGAAAGGCTGGAGGGAACAAACGATGGATAGAACCAAGTACTAAGACCCTGCACTGGACCTTCTTGCTGGACTGAAAAGGGGTAAGTTAACATCCGTTCCACCGTGAGCTACTGTCTGCCCCCAAACCTGTGATGAAAGTTGCCTACAGCTTAGAGCAAGGCTTTCCACATAACTGGTAAGTAGGAGTGCATTGATAAAGATGTTTTGGGCTGATGCCGATGGCCAATTATTAATGAGCTGTATCGGCTGATACCGATCTGATTCCTGATATGCATCTCAGCAGTTTGGAGAGCACTGTCTGGCTGGTAAGTCTGTTGGAGGGAACGGGCATAGGAGGGGCAGACTGAGGTCCTCATGGGGAGGGAGGGAATGGGGCTGAGGCAGGGGAGGAGCAGGCGTGGGATGGAGCCATGAGAAGCTTGTCTGGGTGCTGCAGAGAGGCAGCAGCTCCTGCCACTGTGCACACCCATGGTGGGGCATGTGCCCCCTGGATCTGTGCATTGCATGAGTGCAGGCTGCCCATGGCACACTTGAGGCCAGGCACGGCTCTGGGCTCTTCCCAGTGTGGGGGATTGGGCTACAGCCCAATCCCCCACGCTGGGAAGAGTTTTACAGCCCAATCCCCCACGCTCCCTAGTTTTAAGGGAGGAGCCCTTAAAACTAGCAGTCAGAGTAGCAGGTCAGGTGCTGCTGCACTGCATCACACCCTGAAGTGCTGTGTACCACTCTCTGCGCCCACTAGGCATGCCAGGGACCATCCGAGCACCTGCTGTGCCCAGCAGGCCAAGCTTCTCCTTAAAGCAGGTCAGGGAAGAGGGCATGGCAATATTCAACCAGCTGCTTAAGGAGCATAGAGAGGAGAGAGCAGATGAGCAGAGAGAGAACGTACTTGGCAAACTGGAAGATGTCAAAGACAAATTTCTCCATCTTGATACCATTGGGCTTGTCTGGCTCGAGCAGCCGCCCACTGGCAACATCCATATGTGGGATCTTCTTCTGGGCCACATGGTGCTGCAGCTGAGGCTCGTAAGTGCTGCATGGACAAAGAAAAAGAGAAATCAGTCTCCTACACCAGGGGAGAGCAGTTCTGGGGGTACCATTTATGCAGATGTATTTGGACACTTTAAAATGGCCCAAGACATAATTGACCTCTGGGGCAACCATGGGTGGGCATTTTTATTTCCTTCCCCAGGACTGACATGCATACTTTGTTTTGCCTGGGGAAAACAAGAACAAATCCTTTAAACCCACTCTCTTGCTTGCTACAAATGTAATTGCTCTGACCCTTTCTCTACACTAGCTCTTTGGGTTTGCTGGCTATAGCGCAGAGAAGGAAACCCAAATAGTGCAAAGCTTCTACTTCCTGGTAAGAGACAGGAGAGCAGAGTGAGCTGGGGGATGGAAAAAAAGGGAAGGCAGACGCAAGGTACATTGTGCTGGGGGAGGTAAGGGAGGATCTTTGGAAAGGAACCAAGTTTTTCTGTGGGATAGCACTTTGCCCCTTCCCCAGTTCTTGAGGGCTGCATGAAAGCACTCTAGGTTCAGTTATCAGCTTTCCTATGTAGCTTGATTGGCTGTTAATGCTTATTAACTAGGTTTTACTTTAAAAAGGCAATTTACCCTCTGGTTACTGTCCCAGTTAACCTCCTCTCCCCTCTACCCCATGCCCATGAACCAGTGCCATTCTATTTTACAAGAAAAAAAAAAAAAAAAAATCAATGAACAGAAAACTTCACCATCCTGTCCTATCTGGTACAATTTTTTTTCTTAATTTTTGGAAGAGAGAAGAGACTTTAGGAGACTGAGAGCAAGAGCAAAAGTTCTAAAGGTTTATTCACTCTAGGTCATAAGCAAGGCACTTTCACCCAGTGACCATGTACAAATTCACTGAGCAGAAGATGGAGCTACACGCCATAGGCCAATGCCTTCCCACCATGCTGGAGTTCTTCCAATTAGCCTTGACAGCGTAAAAGAAGAGTCAGTTCTACCTATTCCTTCCTTGTTATGCAAAGTAGCTAGAGCTGCCATCCATTTGGGAGCCAGGGAGGCATCATCTCATCTTAGTACCTCAGGGCAGGGTGAAGTCTCCCATTGTGCCCTGGGTATTGGTGCACACAGCTAAAGCAGAAGTGGACATTCACAGTCAGCTGCTGCTTGCTGGTGGCTGGGAGATGGAGAAGTTTGAAAGCCTATCAGTTACAGCAAGGCAAGAACCCAGCAGAGGTTGTGGCCAGTTGCCATTTTACCTCAAATCACTTCAGGGTTAGAGCTGCAATTTCTGGTTTTGGTATGCTGGGAGTAACGTCGTCAGAGTATTTTGGGCCTCTTGCCTCCCAAAGGAAGTCTGCTTCCTGAGGAGTACCACAAAGTTCTAACCAGAGATATCATTACACATCAATTTAAAGAAGCCTGCTGTCCCAAACCTCAGCAAGGGGACTTGAGGGCGCAAAGCTCAGGAGCTATCCTGGTGGGAGCAACTGTAACAAAAGGAATAGAGGAATGACATACTAGAAACAGGAGGAGACACTGGGACACCTCCCACTCCCACATTCCATTTTGTGCCTCAGAAGAGGCCCAGTAAATTTAGAGGGAAGATGGTGAGATGCACACCCAAGAGGTTCTGCCAGACTGTGATACTAACAGGCTAGCTTTGCAAGGCAACAGAGCACGTTGCTTTATGAGAGAGTGCTGTGTATGCAGCCCATGACCCCAACTGGCCCATACTTGACTACATCTCGAAGGAATGCCACTGTGAAGTAGTGATTGGCGATGTTGCCTGCGTTGAAGAGCAGCCGGCCATCAGGGCTGCGTTTCTGCGCTGTGGCCAGGGAGATCTCGCTGTATTCCACCACCTGGTACACGCCATCGACTCTGCATACCACACCAACTGGCTCTGTGGGGTTCGTCTTCTCCACCACCTGCCCAGAGAACATATGCACAGGCACACAGGTGAAAAAGGTGTTTGTTTCAGCGAAGTCCCTGCTTGAAGCAGGTTAAATGCCACTGAGCAATAACAGGGGCAGGTATGGAACCTGGAGCCCAGAGACTCTTATGCCTTTTATCCATAAGTCTTAAAGCAACATATTTCTCCTTTGAAGGAGGGGGACCACAGATCAGGCCCCTGCTCACCCCTTATTCCCTGCAAGGGTTTCCCTGGCACCCAACCCTTCGGTTCCTTCTTCACCCCACCATTCCCCTGACAATAGAGGATGTCACTCACAGGCATCTCTTGGTTCCCTCACAGGCAGGCTGCTGACAGCAGCTGTACCTTGGACACAGATCCTGATTCCATTTCTACATAGCAGGGGGCCACATGCTGCATCCCCTCCTTCTAAAATGTTGTTAGAGGCATCCAGGCACTTTTGAGGCAAGGACAGAAGCATCCAGAGAAACATGAACAGGAATCAAGAGCAAGGGTGGGGGGGGTGCACACCCAGCACCCAGGTCACATTTCTACACAGCTGAGCAGCTTGGGTGCCAAGCCCTGGAATTCCAAGGCATAGAGTTCAGCACCTAATGAACCACCAGCTTGCCACAGACCACAAGTGGGAAACTGCAACTTGAGCATAGGGCCCATTTCATAGTGGTTACCAACACCTATACAAACGCTCCCTTTAGCGCCCAAAGGGACAGGCCAGTCACTCTGAGTCTTCTCCCACCGGCCTACCTCCATCCCCTCCTCCCAATGAAACACTTGGGTCCCTGCAAGTAGGGAAATGCCTAGCAAAAAAATCAGGCAGCTCCCTTATTGTGGAGGGGGGTCTCAGCAATATTCTAGCTTAACAGGAAGAGCTCTGAAGCCTGGGAATGTAAATGGGTATCTGACCTAATTTACAAAATATCTAGTGTTCTGCTGTGTTGATGAATGCGAGGAAAGGCCCCTTGTGAGAAAAGAGAAGAACTTTCCAGGATACAGTCAGACACCCCACTTGCATGGCACTCCCCACCCATTGCCCAGACAAGGTACTACAATCTGCCCAGAACCTTGCAATTAGCTTCCTTGTCAGCATGAATCCCACAGGCAACTAGAAGTCTCCAATTACTAGTGATTATAGGTAACAAGCTAGTGCTGTTGCTGAGGGAACTCCTCTGGCACCACAAATACATTCTCTCCCTAACAAAGCAAATGCATCACTGTCACAGGACAAGGGAAAGCCAAGTGTCCCAAACTCAGTGCCAAACACTCAAAGCAATGTCCAAACATGCTATACTGGATGCACTGAAATTCTGTCACCGATTGCGCTTTTTAACAGGAGAGAAAAGCTCAGTGTAGGTGGGAGTAAGCCTTCCCATTAGTTTGAAGTAGGGTATGCTGATTTTGCTAGAAGTTTACAGCCACAAGCTGAAAAGAAGGCAGTGTCCACACAGGCTTGCAATGGTTTAACAAAAAGTAAGGGGGAAAGGTATCAAAATAACACATTGTGTGTAAACCTTAAGCATATGCAAAGCTGGGAATAGGCAGGAATCGCTACCTGCAGATGCCCACTGATGCACAGGACAATGTTCTACCACAGCAGTTCTGAATAACTCTACCAACAACAGGGAACAGGGTCCGTTTCCCCAGGAGAACATTAGCAAGAAGACCAAATGACTGATAAAAGTTAGTATAGGTAGAGTACAAGTGGGTTCAAGTAATAAGACCTACTGAGACATGGGGTCTAACCTCATAATCCGAGCCAGGCCTGGAGCAGATTGCTTTCAACACCATAGGGAAATAAGAAGCAAAGCAAGAATGCTGCATAAAAAAACCCCTGCATGCTCTGCTTATCCAGTATGGACTGCCCATGTTGCCTGGGAGACCTGTAGTAGTCCAATAATGTCCAGGCTTCCATTACAACCCACCTGCCCAATGTTTATCACTTTCTGAAACAGTCACTCCCAAGAAGCATTTTCCCTTGCTTTGTCTCTGCCCAAAGGTGAAGGTGGAGGAATGTTTCCCCTTTTCAAATATGGAAAAGAAAAAACAGATGCCTTTCCATGTAGCCATTGGTTAACCTTCACAAAGTGACACCTTTTGAACAGCCTCACTAGCTTAGAGGCCATAACTCTGTTTCTGACCCAAAACAAGTATGAAATAGTGCAATCCAATCAATCAGTCAATAGGCTCCCTTAACCACATAGGTGGGGGATTGTGCCACTGAGTTCCTGGATTAGCATATACATCTGCAGGGCTCAAGTCCTGTCAGCTGAAGCAAATTCTTTTGCTTAAGGAGGATAATGAATACACTACATAGCTAGGGGAATTTGGCAAAATGATTCACATGTAATTTTGAGGTTCGGGTTTCACCGACACAGTGAAATATGTTCTTATGAAACTAAAGTTCCTCAGAAGCTCTGATGTCAGATGCCCAGTATACCAACACGTTTCTTGGTAGGAGACATCTAGTGGTTATCAGAAAAGATTCTCTGAAACAGTTTTTCCGAAACTGCTTGGATTAGGGCTGTTCAATTTAGCAGCTGGGGACTACATGCCATGGGGCGGGGCACAGCATGGGCAGGAGCCATGGCCCTCCCTCATCTCCCCAGCTATGAGCTCCCTTGGTATCACATAGGTGGGCACCTCCCCACTCCCACTGCATTAGATGGGCAGGCGGGCAACAACCCCATAACCTCCTTGGCTGCAGGCTCCCTCAGCACAGCAGGCTGCTCTGTAACACCTTTGCTGCCCCAGCCAGCCCCTGTAGGGAGAATGGGGAGGGAGCCTAGAGACCTCAGCAGCAGCAGTAGCCCCCAGTGATAAGGACCTCCCCTTGGCCAGTGGCTCCCAAGAGGCTACAGATTAACCCCTCATACAGCCAGCAAGTCACCAGTTGGACATCCCTAGGTGATTTCCATGCTTATTTCCTATTAATTTAAGTGAGAATAGTGAAACAAAAAACTCTTTAGGGCACTTAAGATTTTCATAGGCCTCAACCTCTAGATCTATCTGGGATCTTCAAAACCTTTTCATTTTAGCATGTGCCTTGGGACAGGAGAGGCATGGAGCTATGCCTGCCAGATATGTATATGCATGCACTGCGGCTTCTTGTTTTTTCAAGCTTGCTGGGTACTGACAGTTGCAAGACTCCCTGCTCCTCAGGCCTGTCAGTGGCCCATACACAATACTGGCACATGCAGGTAGCTGTCACACACACAGCAGAAATCAGCATTTTGGTTTGTAGGTACCAGCTGGAGGCCTCAAGACAGTGGTTCTTGACCTTTTTAGACTCAAGGCACCCCTCTGAAAATGCCAGCTCTTCATTTTCATTTGTTTTCTGACTACAGAAAAATTATAGAGCGTTTTTTCTGTTGCAAAGAACATGAGACATACAACAGGTCAGAATGTTTATAACACCATGGATTTTTTATTTGAAGTCTCTGGGTTATCTTGAGCCATGTTTGTATCACCTAACAGTGTTAATATAGCACAGCACCCCAGATCACCCTTGAAAGAATATCCAGGCACTCCAGGGTCCCACGGCACCCTGCTTGGGAATCAGTGCCCTAAGACATGGACAACAGTGACTGAAACAGACTAAGTGACTTGCATTTAGATACTATAATTCAGAAAGGAAGTTGCATTCTGGGCCTAGCAGCCTGGTAATAGCCACTTTGTTTGGTTCCTAATTCCAGTTGCTTTGCCCACTTTTACAATAAATCTAGGAGGTAGGGGACAAGAAGTATGCTCCACCTGCTTGAACACAAAGTCATTACTGCTTCTGTCTGCAGACCAAGTGCACTTTCTCTGTCCTCTCCTCCAGGTGCAATGGGCATAGATAGCCATAGCTATTGTACAAGCTACAGCATCCACTGATTCAGACCTCCTCCCTCCCACTCCCCAACACATCCTGGATGCACTACAAGGACTAGTATTCTGCTCCCTTTCAGCCCCTTTGCCCAGCTAAAGGCCATAATTGATACACTCTGGCTGTTCCCCTTGCAGCCACCCCAGCTGCTCTTCTTACCCAAAAGGAACATGATGTGGAAGACTCTGCCTGTTTCTCCAGACAGAGCAAGGGCTGTTAAAGCAGTCCAGCAAGTGTGCAAGCTAAACAGCCAATTACACCATAGATTCCATGGCCCTTCCCCCTCCCTCACCATAGAAGAGGTTACCTTTGCACCACAATCTGCTCCTTTCTGTATGCAGAACCCAATGAACCTGGGGTCAGCCACCTTCACCAAGATGTTGTCAACACAGTACACGTGGATGCTCCCGATGCCTCGCCGTTCCATGTCCTCAATGATACCATGGGCACCGAGAGCTCGATACAGTCCTCCATTGCCATCTGGTGAGGGCGGGGGGGAAGAGAAGAACAGAGGGAGAACATATTAATGCACCAGAACTGCAGAGAGGAGGAACAAAACTAAGCTCAGGAAGCTGGTCAAAGCCCCAGCAAGTTGTCCTGTGCAGCAGTTAGGTCACAGTGTCGATAGAAGCTGCTGCAGAGAAAAGAACAGATGCTAGGAAGGACCTCAGCGAAAACCTGTTCTACCCGCTGCTCTGTGACATCCTTTCCCCACTCTGCCCTCTGTTTGCATCTCATCTTATCCCCTCACACAAGCCAGAAGGTAAGCAATAGATCCCTGCAGCAGATGCTCACATGTGGCTAGCCAGTGAACAAGTGCTGGAGTATCCTCTATTGGAATAGAGGGGAGAGAAGTACAGCTGTAGCAGAAACAGTGAGGAAGGACTAAGAAGGACTTCTGAATAGGAGAGGGAGCTTTGCAGTGTTAGTTTTCATTTGGTAAATTACCAAACTGGGACAAAGAGAGCAGCTCAGTGAAAAGTGCACTCATCTCTTCCAAGGGAAGCAAGACTTCAGTGCCATGGAGGAGTGAACTACAAGGCTAGGGATAGAAGTTACACATACACCAGTTTAAGTAATCAGAAACTGGTTTAGACCTGTAACATCTGAAGTTCTGTGCACATAAACCAGTTTCAAAATGGCTGAAACTAGTTGAAAGATAAATCTGGTTGAATGTCGTATATGTCTTAACTGATTTAAGTCAAACCAGTTTATTGAACTTCTGTCCCAGACCCCTTCCTGGTTCAAGTTAAATCAGTTCCCCAGGGATGCTTTGCAGCCCTGGGCTGTGCTGTGCTGTCTAACTGAGCATAGCAGGGTTGGCCCCACCCCTCTGCCCTCTTACCAGAGCAGCCAGGGGTGGCTGACAGGGGGGTGGGGTTGAGAAACCCACTGCGTTGGCCTAAGCTGGTCTGCCTAGCTGGGGTGGAACAGCTCCTGCCAGACTTTTCCCCACTGCAGTAGAGGGGGTGGGGGCATGGGACAGCAGGCTCAGGTGGAGGGGAGAGAGGGGAATTAAACCCACCTGCCTCCCCTCTCCCACCACAGCAGAGGTCTTCCAGCTGGGGTCCCCGTGCCCATGGGAGAGAAGCAGGGGAACTTAATCCCCCTCCCTCCCCTACACCTGAGGCACTGTCCAGGCCACCGGCTGGCCAAACCTTGCAAGGGCTGCTTGCCCCTTCCCGGCACACCCCGGCTGGGGTCCCTGCAGGCCAGGGTGGGGGCTTAAAGCCCTCCCCAATCATACTCAGTGGCCTGCCAGGGCCTGGCCACGCACCGCCCTCCCCACCCTCAACTCAGCTTCCCTCCAGCCTTCCTGCCACTGGGGAACGGAAGGGAAGGCTTGTTCTAGCACCCCCCCAGCTTCTAGCCTGAGCCACTGCAGGCACGGGCCTGCATTTTTGGAATCAAAAATGAATGTCTGTTCACTTGCTTCTTGGTTCAATCTACACAAATTGAACTATGCACTTTAGCCCAACAGTCACCATCAGTCAGAAGAACTAGGAGAAACCAGGTCTTCATCTCTGACTCCTTAGTTCTCCTGGATAGCATGGAGAGGCTCCAACAAGCAAACAAGATTACACAAGAAGCCATCTTATCCAAAACTACCCCTCACCCAAAAAGAGAAAGGAACCCAGGTGTTCTGTACCAGAGAACTCCAACATCCTGCCTAACCATAGTCTTCTGGCTCTGTTAGCAATGTTGGGTTGGGGGGGGAAGGAGACAGATTGCAACAAGCAGATACACAGTGATTATATAAACTGTTCATGTGGCTTGTAAAAGTCACATGTCTGTCAGCTCTTAAAGCAGGCATTTTCTGCTTTTGCATGGACACACCCTTTTGAAGAGTAAACATTGTTAGGAGCCAGCCCCAGGAGTTTAATATGGTTTGTTCATATTTTTTCCACTCCTCTGCATCTAACCTTTAGCTGAGAGATGCTCTGGGGTAGGAAGAAGCGACTTTATTAGATTGTCATTGGACAAGCTTGTTCCCTCCCACTCAAGCTGCTTCACTTCAGCATTCCCCACTCTGCTTAATATCAATTACCAAACCTGGGGCACTGTCAAACCCACAGGATTTGTGTTTAAAGTAAGTCAACCGTGTATCTAAAATATCAGTAAATTGCTTGCTGTGTCTGCCCAACAAACTTGGGCTCAGCTTTCACCTAACTTCAGCCTTCCCCACTTCAAAGTCTCTCACCCCTTCACCCAGATCTTGCCCCAGAGGACTCCACTATCAGTTATTTCAGTGCCCCACTCAGAACCCTGACAAGTGTGGTCTGGATGAAACCATCAGCTTTCCCCTAGATCCCTTTAACAAGTTTCCAGCAGCACAGACCTGGTGCCATGGAAACTTTGCTCTTCTCTTCCAGAAGAATTTTCCCATCAAACCCCATGGCAGGCAGCATCCCCTGCTGGAAAAAGACCACATTTTCCTTCTTTAAACCAAAATACTTGTGTTTCAAGAAGAACTCCTTTGTGGATTCCATTGTTCTGCCACTTGTCATGATGTACCTGCCACAGCATGGAGAGAAAAACAGAAGAATAAGGACACATTTGACCAAGGGCAGATGTAGCCCAACACAAACACACAGGATTTCTATGTGGAGCAATGCAACCCGCGTTGCTCCCCACACCCCATGGCTCCTTTTGAAGCATATGACTAGTACACCTGGGACAAGCCTCTCAATTCCCCAGTGGGAAACTCATTATCATAAGGGAGCCCCAGCTCAGTTCTAAAGGATCCTGACTCTCAACAATATTTAAATGGCAGCAGTGAACCACTGACCCAAGGGCTTTATAAAGCCTCGTGTCCAGCAGTGGTTGTCAGAATGGGGCCACGTCAAGGAGTTCTGAAGCCAGCAGGAAGGTGCGGATAGACTTCGTGTGTCAAGAATACAAAAACTGCCATAATGGGTCAGACCAAGTATTCCTTTAGCACAGTATCTTGCCTCCAATGGTAGCAACCACTGGGCAATTTATAGGAAGAGAATAAGAAACAGGGCAAGTGTGAAGTGATCCCTGCTCAGTCATAGCTGTCCAGTCATCTGCAGTCCTAGAGTTAGGGACATGCTGGGCCCAAGGTGACATCCCAGATTGTCGTGTTTAATAGTCCTGTATGGACCTCCCCTGCACAGAGCTGTCTAATCCTCTTTGGAACCCAATTATACTATTGACCTCCACAATATCCTGCAGCAAGGAGTTCCACAGGTCAGTTATGGCATTGAAGGAACCCCATTATTAGAGTATCTACCAGGCAAGATGTGATTAAATTAGGTGTGCCGCCAAAGACTAGCCATGCTCTAAAGCTCCCCGCTCTGCCTCCTAGGAAGGGGTTTCCACCTACAACCATATCACTCAAAACAGAGCCAGGCTTATTTCTACCCACCCCCCACATGATTAGGTATAAGCTGTGAAAAGCAAGCAAAAACAAAGCTCCCTAAAGCACTCATATCTCCCCTTGCAATGCAACCCCATCCCAATGCTGTGCAGAAGGGAAAGGCACTCAAACGTGTTAGTGGAGGGAAGGAACCAAGACAGGACCACACTTGTCTCTCCCCTACTGCAGAAGAACGGGACGGAACAAACTGACCCTGGACATTGAAGGCAACCTGAGGTGCTACATCTGGGCTGTTTGGAAGCGTGTTCCCCCACACCCCATATGGTTCTGCATTCCACTGTAGCAGCCAGAACTGCTGGGATTATGCTTTTCTTGGTCTCCCTATACATTAGCCAGGGTCATCACAGGAAACCAAATTCAATACCAGGTCCCCAAATACGTCTTTTTTTTTTTGCCCCTCTTTGGGACTCTGACTAATGAAGAGGCTGAAGCAGTTCCAGGCTATGTGCTGACATGGGATTTTATTTATTTTTTTTAAATCAGTGGCCACACCACTAAGAGGAGAAAGAACAACGAAGGGTGGTAAAACTTGATCATGATAGGGAAGTGACTGAAGATGAACTGACCTGACCTTAAGAACAGCCCCCTCAGAAGGAAGTGAAGGGCAGTTCCATAATCCCAACTATACCCAGGGGTTTCAGGTGTGGCAGACACTGAATGGGAGACTGCTGAACTTGGACGCTTGTCTCCTTCAAAAAGATTTCCCCTCCTATTACCCCACCTTTTCAAGGCCTGCTACAGAGAAAGACTGCAAGGGGAAATTTCTCAGGACATTTGCAACCTGGGTTCTCATCAACACCTACTCAACTCAGATACCTAGGAAGTCTTTGGGCAAGTTTATCACCCCTGCCAGTGGGACTGACACAGGAGATCACAATTCACATCCTAGAGTCCAGCTGAAAGGGCTTGCCGTCTAGCTCAGAATGGCAGACAATATTGGCTAGAAAGCAGATAATGGCAATCTAATCGCAACCTTAATAAGACTTGTGACAGACACTTAATCCTTTGCATTTGCACAACCTCTCTGCTCCAAGTCTTTTGGAGGGTGGCTACACTAGGCACTCTGGTGCAACTTTGTCAACACAATATCACCAGAGCAAGATTCCCTCTCCCACCTCCTGGAAGTATATGTGCTGCACTTAGAACAGCCCAATTGGATAGCTGACCCAGAAGAGCTATATTGAATTTGTTTTCTATGCATCTATGTTAGGACAAGGGGGTAGTAGCCACACCTCTGCCTTGCTATGGCAAAGGCATAAATTAGGGAGATTAACAACCTTACCCAAGATTAAAGTCAGAAGAGACAGACATAGCCTATCAGCCTGTAACCACTACTTTTTGGCCATACTAGTAGCGAGAATGGTGTCCACGAGGACCATCCTCCACTCCTTACCACGGAATAACACATTTGGTGCCATGTTCTTTTTCAGCCAGCTGCTGAAGCTTCAAGATGCGCTCCGCTTGGATCTGGAAAAGCGTTTTGTGCGACAGCAATCCAACATCATACATTCCCTTGGGATATGAAACACCCAGCCTTGTCCCCTGACCGCCAGCTAGAAGAAGAACAGCTACTTTGCTCTGAGAAATATGGTGTAGACCTATACAAACAAAGGAAAAAAAGATGCATTTGAATTCTTGTCAGTACCTGGACCTGGGGAGAAAATGTGACCAAGAACTTGCCCCCTCTGCATGGAGGATGCCATGTTGTGCCTTTTGGATTAGGCACAACTGCTTGGCATACTGATCCTTCAGTGTCCCATCTGGCTGGCCCTGGTGGACAGTGCAGGAAGCAATCTTCGTCTAATGGGACAGACACACTGGATAGTTTGAGGAAAAGAAACTGCATACTGTCCTGGAGACTGGACCAATATACTTTGCTTGGAGGGGGCATGGATGATTGTTAGGGCTCTACATAAGATCTTGGTAAGTCAGAATCAGGTAATCAACACCAGGCAATCCTCACCATGGCTCTCCATGCTGCCAGCCTTGAAGGAGGGCAGTGAGATGCTTCTTGGGGGTACGGTAACTTAGCTGACTGTTGCACACTGATTACATGAAACCATTAACTCCCTCAAAGCATTTCTGGATTTTAGTTACCCCTCCACCCCTGCAAACTAAAAAGAGTCTATAGACTCCAGAGGGCAGCTTGGTCCTAGCAACTCCAAGCTCTGTGGGGACAACACAAAGCAAGACTAGAATAGCCACCTCTTAACACTCACTAGATTTCACCCCCTCTTCAGCAGGGAGCTTGACATTTGCACAGCACTCTGAACTACCCAGTACAAACCATTACCTCATCTACTAGTTGCTCATGGTCAGAAAGCAAGTAATGAAAAAGCCTGTGTTGAGAGAAGCAGTCACAACTCCCAAACAGGCTTTCAGGGCCAATTGTTACTCCTCCAAACAATCCCAACCTATAGTACATAGATGTTGGCAACTTAGCAACCAATAAGGAAATAAGATTGCCAGTATAAATCAGCAGTTAAACCACTTTTATGCTGCTGTAGGGTGGATTTGGTATTCAGTGATACAAGTATTATTTTAGATGCAGAAACTGGCAAGTGTCAAATGAACTGAACATCCCTAATGGTTTTTCGTTTGATGGAATTTCACTATTTGACAATTAGATGGAAAAAGTGAACAGGAGACACAAGTCTGTGCATTTTGTCGGAGGTACACAGTTTAAGCGTAGGTATGAGTGGGAGACAAGAGCACTTCAGAGTTCTGACACCAGTCCAGGCAGATCTGTACCTTGTTTCACCCATGTACTCCCTCATTTCAGAAGAAGGAATGGGATAAGTGTTATGTGGCAGGACTGCAGTGACAGACACTCCAGGCTCAAGTAGTACTAATGGAACATCAAGCAAACACTGGGAGGGTTTTCTGATGGAGCATACTCCACTCAGGCCCACTACACTTAAGTGCAGAACTTGCTTAACTGCATAACATAAGGCTGGTGACAATTTCTAGGCCACTGCCCGTATGGTGGCAAACATTGGTTAGCTGCACAATGGTTAAGTGCATAGCATATTTCAATCCAACCATCTACCTTAAGCTAATTGGACTCCCGTTAACTGCATCCGTCTACTTCTAATAGCAGTCTTGAAACTGTTAGAAGCCTTAAAAACTGTGACATGGCACTAATCAGTTTCAGGCCTGCTAATACACTGAGAGCACTGTGTGCTTAATGAGCAGTGGTTACATTGAGTTCTGAGAACTGCAAAGGCTGAGTAACTATAGAGCCTTTTTTTTCACTCCACCAGTTATACAAATACACTGTATATGGAAGCAAGTGTGAAGCAGATCTATGTTTGAAATGTTTTGTCTTCAAAGAGTTCCAGATTCCCAACCCTCTTCATACAGAGAAGTATTTTTCACAATCTCATGCACAGTTCTTTTCCTGAAAAGAAGCTGTCTTGAGCTGTAAGCTTCCCAGAAAATTTCTTGCATTTCTGGGCAGGTCATAAACACTTGAGCATTCAAGAAGTTCAGAAAGCTGTTCACTCCTGAAGACAGGCATTTAACATTGCAAAACACATTCTGTTCTAAGCAGAACTTTCTCTCCCTGCAAGGTCTATAACATGGGCGGTTGCCCTGATAACATTTATAGCAAACACAGCTGGCTTGACAGCAAACACCTTCCTAGGTCAAATGCTTCCTGGATAACTTCCTGCTTGGACTCAGGCCTCAGATTCACTTTAAACACTGGTCGAAACCTGGAAAAGGGAGTATTACAAGTCAGTCAAGCTGTATTGGAAATGTATATGCCCAATAAACAGCACATGAATGTAAAGAGGTATTTGATTATTAGCCTCTCCACCTTTCCCAGCCACCTCACTGTTACATTAAGAATAAAATCATGAAAGCGCTTTCCACAAAGGCTAGTTAGCTGGGTAGATTTCAATTCTTCCTCTGAAACAAATGGAAATATGATAATAGCCTCATTCATAAAGTACTTTGAGACTGACAGATAAAGATATGGAGGCACAGACAGGGAAAGTGACTTGGCAACACCTCCTAGCATAGTGAGGGCAAAATGTTTTGGCAAGTGTGCCACAGATTAGCCCCACACTTTCCAAGTGCCACTCTTATCTCCTTCTCTTGCCTAATGGGCCATCCTGCTTTCTGCTCCTCTATTTTCTGCTCTCTGCCTTATCTGCCATTAGGCTGCCTGTCCCCTCCTTGGACCACTGCAAGCCACACACAGAGGCTGCCCATACTACTTGCAGCACATATGCTCCCAGTTGGCCATTCCTGTCCTGGCAATCTGGGTGGAGGTGGGAACTGTAGAGAATAGAAACCAAGTACCTAGAGCCCTGGTACAGTTTTCTATTCACTAGTGAAAGATAAAAAGCTTAAATTTTAACATCCCAGTAACACCTTGAACTTCCTTGAGAGACTTGTTTAATAGACTCTCGTGCACTGCCAGTCACTGGGATGTCACCCTAGTTACAGCCTCACTAGACATAACATTTATCTTCTCAGCTACATGGTACTAGCACAGCCTTGTTGTACAGAATCCTTGTGTAAAGGCAGCAGAGCCTTTGGTTAACAATGCAATTGAGTTTAAGTAAGTTTTACCCCCTCCCTGCCCCAGAAGTTTCTGCACTCCCTTTTACAGAGGGTTCTGTTCTGATAAAAGGTTACCTGCCTAGTGTCAGCCCAAAAGGAAACTTCAGTTTACTTTACTTGGGAGTCAGGAAGGGCATGAGTAAAGTGCTTTGCATACAGCTGCATATAAAGTCCAAATCACAGAAGCAGGGCTCAAACGGACCTCCAGAAGTTATCTAGTCCAATCCCCAGTTACAGGCAGGATCATCCCCAGCTAAACCATTTCATACAAATCCATTGTCTAACCTACTTGTAAAACTACAGTCAAAACTACTGCCTCTCCCCTAACACAACCGCAGACAACACCCTAACCTGGCACATGTAAAGCAGAGGAAACAAGCGGCCAATGTCCTGCCACTATAAGAGTTGTTAAACTTTGCTTGAGAGATCCAAGGAAGAGAGCCATTCCCCTCAGCTGCAGGGGAAGACTAAACCCACCCCCACTGTGAACCAATCTGACCCTAGGGTAAAATTCCTTCCTGACCCCAAACATGGTGACTGATCTGACCCCAAGTGTAAGGGCTTGACCCTCTAGCCAGGAACCTCCATGTTTGGGTCTGAGCAGGAGCACTGGCACACACCAATCAAAGTCCCCAGCCTTTGCTGCAGCCAACTTAGTGCTTTTGAGGAAGGCAAAAAAACACAACCCTGACCAACAGAAACAGGAGGGGGGGAAATATATACAGGCAGTCCTCGACTTATAATGTTTTGCACTTATGTTTATGAACTGACACCCTGTTTCAACTTCATGACGTCAGTTTTGACTTTACAACGCTTGATCTGATGCAACGCCATGCCAGCGAACAAGTTTCCTGCATCACCCATCTCCTTGGAGAACATCTGTCCAAACTTCTTAGACCCTTTCTTTAAGAAAACAGACAAGACTCCAGAAAAACCTGCAGCCAAGACTCCTGAGAAGACTCCAACCAAGAGCCCTTCAAAAAGTCCAGCAAAGTCACCTCAAAGAACTCCTTCTAAAGCAATGTGATTGCTATTTACAATATAAATATATTAATGTAGCTATATTACTCATCTATAATTGATTGAGTACAAAATTCTGGGGTACTTTTGATGACAACAGGGTATCAGGCCTTGGTTCAGAAACCAATCCCCCCATTTATAACATTTTCTTATGAGAAAATTGGTTCTGAGTTACAACATTTTGACGTAAGAGACAGTTTTCAGGAACCAATTGTGTCATAAGTCTGAGGACTGCCTGTATATGCTTTTGCAACCAGCAAAGCCCAAAAGCATGGGAAATACCGACAGTAAAACATAGGCATAGCTACTCCTAGATCAGGGGTTGGCAACTGTGGGTACTTGATATGGCCCTAGGGGGTATGTGCAGGTGAATGGGGACGGACCGTTACCAAGCAGCATCCCCCAGATGCAGGGGCATGGGAAGCTCGCACATGGCAGCTGCCGCCACTCTGCATTCAGCCACTTGCCACCCCCACTGCTCGGTGGCTGGGGGTACACTGCTCTGTGTCCAGCAGCTGAGGGGTACAGTTGTAGCAGAAAGCCCCCTCTTCCTCTTGCCTGCATTTGCTCTCCCCTCTTTGGATATGTTTCTCTTCTTCTACCTTTTCTTCCTTCCTCTTTCTTTCACTTTAAGATAAGGAATTGCGTTTTAAAATTTGTATGTGTGCATTTTGTATCTCCCCTTGTATTTTGGTATTTTAATCTATTTGTGTGCCATGGCATTACTTTTGTAGCTTATATTTTATACTCCTCACCTTTCAACTAAATGTGTTTAGCGTCAGAAGTAAGTTATACACTGTAACAATGTTAACAAGGGAGGAATCAAACTGCCCTTCCCTGTATCAGGCGGGCCCCTGAAAGAGCAGTGAATCAGTGATTGAATGCAGAACGCAGTAGCAGGCAGCAATTTAACACCTAGGAAAACCGCAGATCAACCAAAGGAAGAAATCAACAGGAGACAATGTAGCAACCGGGAATTCTCTAAACCTCACTGTTCAAGGGCTAGAAGCCCTGGTCTGAGTTAATCAACGCCGGGAACCAACTTTTGGGCTGAATATCTCCAGATCGACCGCTCCCAGAGCCCTATTCAAAAATTCATCAAAGGACTCCCAAACCTGCACGTACATGGAGACGATCCCTGGGGCTGACAGATGCCATCCAGTAGCCACCAAGGGGGAAGTCCCACGAGGGTCAATGACCCCTGGATTGGGCAAACCTGAAAACTGGGGAGTCACCAAAAGTCTGCCAAGGACAGATAAAAAGCAGTGAGAAGTGACCCTCAGGGGCACCCTCTTGATCTCCAACTTGACCAGCACCTGACCTGTCCAGCCAGAAGGACCAGTCGGCGACCCCCTTCTGGAGGACACCACCACGCTGGAAGAAGCCTCTACTGGCCATCAACAGCAGACTCCAGTGCCTGTGGGATAGGTATACCTGACTCTTGTAGCGTGCGTGGATCAGCCCCAAGGTCTTCATTACAGTGTTTCAATCCGCCTAATAAACCAGAATTTTAAGGATCCTGAGTTGGACATTTGTAGCCAACACAATGATGCAGAAAGGTTGAAAACCCTTGTCCTAGGTTCATCCCTGATCAATGCTTTTCTTGAACACTTCCAGTGATGGATATTCTACAGCTTTCCTAGGTTGTCTATTCCACTGCTTCACTGTTAGAACAGTAATTTTTTTCCCCCCCGAACCTGTATGAAACTCATCAAGGGTGCTGACCAGCTCTCAGCAAGGAATAATCACTCTGACAAGTTGGAAAAACAATTGAACAAAGAGGTCTTGCCCACATATCAAGCTTTGGAGGAGAGGCTGTCATATCTGTTGTACAATTCCTGAAGCACAACAGCTCCCAAACACAGATGAGGCATTCAGATATTCCTGCCAGATAAGCTTGCTGCTGATTTGCTCATCAAGCTCAAGTGCCAGGAAGCTACTGTTGAAAGTCCCTGAACAAATAATTCCCATCATGTCGACCTCTTCAATCTCTTCTATTAAGATGGGCAAGAGGAAGCCTGGTTCCTATGCTCCGGGATCCAAGAACCCAAGCATCAGGCACGTCAGCTTTCTGCAACATCAGGGCATCATCCTATGACGTTACTAACCCACCTGACTAAGCTAACAAGCCAAAAGATGACGCTTATCACAGCCAGATAAGATAGGGTCCCAGTGGCACAAGATTACAGCACTGCTGCAAGCAGTTTTGGGCTCCTTCCTGCAAAGCAGAGACAAGATTCAGGACAACTGGGAAGCCCTTCCCTGACAACAATGCTACCACCACAACCACATGGCTTTGCAACAGTCTCTGAGCTGAAATATCACAATTTCCCCAAGCCTCCAAGCACAGGTAAGAACATCAAGTCTTATTCTTTCGACCTCAGGAGACATTAAAAGAGGGAACATAGTGTTGCCATAGGGGGTTGGGCAGGAGCCAGATGAGTCTGCCCTGCCACACCCTTCAACAGTGGAGACACCCAGCAGTCCTACATTTAACCCCAAAACAGACAGGCCCATTTGTCAGAGAATGATGATGAGCCTAGACCAGTGATTCACCAGAGTGCCCTAGCATTATGGGGTGCCTCAAGATCCTTTCAAGGATGCCACACAATGCTAATACTGTCAGGTTTACAAACATGATTCACAAGATAAATACAAAGATTTCAAACAGAAATCCATAGCTGGGATCTTTCAAATGCTCTGCAACAGAAAATGTATTCTATTATTTCTCTGTGGTCAAAAAATGACCAAAAACAAAGGAGCAGGCATATTCTGAGGGGTGCCATGAATCTAAGTCTGGACCCACCAGGAGCTACTAGCCCCCTTCCCAAAGGCTAGAGCAGTGGCTCTCAACCTTTTTGGACTCACTGCACCCCTCATAAGAATTAAGAGCATTAGAACCAGCCATAGGCAACCTCACCTGGTCTCCTGTGTCACAGAAGGGCAGAGAGCGGATGCTGAAAGGGAGAGCAAACTGGGCCTGACCAGAGTTTTTTTCCCCCCTGTTCCTCTCTCACTTGCAGCCTCCAGCATTTAAGATCAAGGCAAGCAGTTCCCAATCTGTGGTAGGGTACCACCAATGCTACGCAGACAACCTGTCAGCGGTACGTGTTAACAGATTTATTCTAAATACTTTACATGACAAAAATTTGCCGGCGGTACTTAAGGTTGTATCATTTTAAATTGGTGGTGCGCAATCTGTCAGTTTGGGAGCCACCGATCTAGGACATGCTGATTTAGAGGCCGTGCCCCTCACTCCCAGGCTGCATCGCTACCACTGCCCCTTTCTTCCAAGAATGTGTCCAACCCCTTCTTGAGTCTGGCTGAACTGTCAGCTTCCGCAACACGTGGGCTCAATGCCCTCTCCCACACCAGGGCGAACCAGGTGGCGCCCTGGGTCAAAGCGGGATTCATATATAGGCTGGGAAGTGGGGGCTTGTCCAGGCAGGGACCATCTCGAGCCTGGGCTGATCTGCTCAGCTTCTCCCCTCACACCTGGGGGCAGCCTCCAAAGCATCTCCCGGCACACCCCACCATCCTCCTCACACCTCGGGGGACCCTCTGAAGGACCTGGCGGACTCCCTGCCCTCCTCACACCTATAGGCAGCCTCCATAGGAGCTGGCAGCACCCCAGGGCCCCGGCCCACCCCCATTTGCACAGCAGGGGGCTAGAGGGAGGCTCTGCCAGGAGCCCTGTGGGGCAAACGCCAAGAGCAG